TAGAGACATTTATAGCTAAGTGGATGCACATTGAGGCCATACTCTTAAGTGAAATAAACAGGACACACATGTAAATACCAACCAGTTTCTCTAGCATGAGAAACCGAAAGTTTAAGTAATAACTAAAAGGTATAATAGATAATGTGAAATAGGAAGAAAAGGAACAAAGGGGAAGGGTCAGTGGGAGGGGTAGGGGAAAGTACATGAGGGAATGGAATTAATATGAGAAAATGAAAAAATGGAAACACAGTCTTTGTCAATAGGGAGGGATGGAGGGTTTGAAGGGAGGGCAGGGGAATGGAGACAAAATAAGAACCAAGAGAGATTATGTAAAGGTCCAAATTTCCAATGATGGTCGTCATTATATTGTATACCTAAAATGTATAAATAAAATTAATTGAAACATAAAAAGCAAAGTGGAGTCCATGGAGGAAGCCATTTGCGAATAACCTCTGGCTTGTTATCTTGAGGTGTTCTCTATACCTGTAAAGTGGCAGGCCTCAAAGTTTCAGATTACAAACAAAGGGCCAGAGGCATTCCCAGGAACCCCAGTTTCAAAAATCAGCTGCTATGTTCTGCATATTTTCTCCCTAATTTATATGTTGGAAACTTAATGCAGCATTGTGAGGCAGGGCCTAATGGAAGGTGCTGAGGTTGTGAGGATGGAGCTGTCATGGATGGACTGACACTATAAAAAGGGTAAAGAGTGGATTTGCTTACTTTTCCTTTCCTGTCATGTGAAGACACAGCATTCTCCCTATTCACCCTTCTACATTCTTCCACGTGAGGATGTAACCACAAAAGCCTAACCAGACAACAGATACCTTGTTCTTGGATTTCCCAGCCTCCAGAACTGTGACAAATAAATTTCTCATTTTTTATAAATTATTTTGTCTCAGGCACTCTCATAGCCCAAATGGACCAAGACACCTGCTGTTCCTTACTTGTTTGTCTGCTGCTCTGAAAGGACAATCAATGCGAAGACAAATGTGTTTACCTTGAGGAGGCTAGAAACATACAAAATGCCTGCTGAGCTCAAATGTGTGGACTTGCTTCCTCCCCATAAGGAAGCAGGACCCTCTGGTCTGAACTATAAACTGAGCTCAATTGTTGCAGGGGAAACTGCAGTGAAGGCGAAACACATGTCTGAGTCACAGAAGCACACAGGTAAACTCCATTTCTGTTATCCCAAACATTGCAAGAGTTAGAGCTCTGAATTCTGGAAGAGTTAGTTCATTGCAGGTGTTAAGGGATGAAGTGACAGGGCTGTGAATTTTCTGTGCGTTTGGCTTGTTTGAAAAAATATAGAAATATAAATTTAAAAATTAAATGTATATAGATGACTAAGTCAAGAAAAATATGATATATTTATTGATTTGCTTTTTCAGATTAAGAAGTTTGATAAATCAGGTGACTGTGAACAACACAGACTTTAAGCCCTCAATTCCACTTTTAGACTGTGACGGCGGAGGTATGGACTCACCCAACCTGACGTTGTAAGAGAAGGGTATGTATTTCAATTCTGCTGATTTGTTTGAGAATGTGCAGGCAATCAGGAGAAAACTGGACATGTGGACCGAGCAGATGGTAACTTGAGACTACACCTAATTCCCATGGCTAAACTACCCTGAAGTCAATGAAACCACAGCTGTCAAAGAATTGAAGAGCAGTTCAGTGGAAATTAAAACCTAATTTCAGAAACAATTCATAGGTTTGATGGACATGAATCATGTCTTATGTTTTTGTGTCTGTCTTACTCTGCAAATCTCTGGATGTGTCTCAGTCATTTAATATGTGCCCCATCTTGGAGGCTGAGCATCCTGCAGACCCAATTGGCCCAAAAGCAAAATAAACTTGCCAAGAAGAAAGCATAGCAGAAGTATCAGGGAGACAGATAAAACTCTTAAAGATTTCACATAATTTATTACTATGTGAATGCATTCCTTTTTAAAAATGACTGAAATGAACATTTTAAGCTACTGTTCACAATGAGGTTATCATTGAATGGTACATTCCCTTTATCAGAATACACCAACTTTGAGTGCAGCGATTTGTCCAGGAGAAAATGCAGAAAGTCTACCAGACCAAGCCAGTCAGAGCTCTTGACCAGTGTTTTTGCATTATGTCTCAGGAACTCAAGAGAGTAGCCGTGACTCTGTATGGACAGCAGAAAGAGAAGAGGGTGCAAAAGAACAGAGTCCCATACTATTCTATCTGTGCCCAATACCACACCCATGCTTGATAGTTGAACAGCTGTGTGAAGCACATCTTCATTCTTCCAACTAGACAGCAAGATCTAAAACAGTCTGGTGATAGTCACACAGAGATAGAACTATTTAGTTTCAAGGTCTATGCTCTTGAGTTTTATGTCAAATTTTTGTCATATCTATGATTCATAAAATTCCTCCTGAGTTAAAACCCAGAAATCTGTATTGAAATTTGTGACAGTTTGCATACAATGAGTAGGGAAAGCCTCAAGTAAATACTGCATCCAGTTTTAGGTTTGTTGTCAATATTTCACTAGAATACCACCTTTGCTTCTTTGTTCTTTACCTTTGTGTCACATCTTGTGTTAACTTTAAAAAGTGATTTCCATTTATTCTCAAACATGCAGACTGGGCCATCTGAAAAAGGCACCCACTGAGGCAAGATCATTACTTAACTTTTCAGCCACATTAAGGGCTTAGAATTTTATCTTTCCATGGCTAATTTCTGACTTACCATTAGAGGCGATTTTGAGTGATCTCTCTTTACCTCAAACCATCTTAAGCATTTGAAGCTATAAGTATTTCTTGTCTGTGTCATATAAACTTCACTGGGGCCTAAATATAAAAAGTCACCACTGACTCTCAAAAAGAAAAAGAAGAAAGGTATTTAGATTAGATAGAATTCTATAACTCACACTGTTGGGGGGAAAGTAATGGAAGCTGTTCTTCACTCTGTAATGTCACATTTCTCTGGCAACGTGTGAGCTTATTCATAGTAGCTAAGCTTCTGGCAATGACCTCTGCTTGGGCTTTTAATCTTTTAGGGTTATTAGGAAATCGAGTAAATTTTCATTTTTGGGATCCATGTTTAAGACAACTGAAACAACACTAGAGGAGGGAGACATTCTTCTGATGAAAAACAAACTCCAAAGTCAGATTCAGAGCTCAGAAGGGAGTGCTGAATCGGAGCACAGAACCTTGTGGCACAATGCGGACACACCAGAAGCTCCCAAAGCCAGGCAACAGAAAAGCTCTGCGGAGAGAAGTCACAATAGAAGTCCTTCAAAAGTGATGGTGAGAAGTCTAAGCAGTTTGAGAGAATCATAGGGCTTTTCCAGAAATCTATATTCTTTTCTCAGTGGTAGGTCTTTTGATGTAAAATCTTCATGGAATGTTGATTCCTAGCAAACCTCCTGCAACAGTATACAAAAAGAGGCTATACAAACCTCATCAGTTTTATTCTTAGGAGAGCATGCTGCTTAAGCCTAATGTGAGTTTAATTGGCTCAATACAGATATAATTCTTGAAAGTTAGTATGTTCCGTGAAGATCCAGCTCCATGCTACCTCAAGCATGTATCATGGAAATTTAATCTCAGATATCTAATGTGAGAAATAATCCTTAGGGTAGGCAAAATTTTCTATGTTCATCTTTTCTTTGACTCTTACTAGGATCAATATATACTCTGCCTCCTATATCTAGAGAAAAATGTAAGAAGACATGAAATGCATGTTTACTGTACAAACCATGAAACAAGAACCTTGTCTTACTTACTCATTTATACATAGTCCTGCCTAGAATAACAGCAGGACAGTGGGGTCTTTGTAATGAATAAATATGAATGAATAAACTGCTCACTTTACTCTATTTTCCTACTATTTGATTCTTTTCTTCTGTTTCCCTACTTACTATTTATTGTTTTATCTCATTATTTTGTACTTAAATTCAAAATCCATATCAAATTAAGAGGATGAGGAAGGGAATTGTTGGGATTTTAGGTGAGCATAAAACTCCCACTTCCCACCCTGAGTTAAAAACTACTGAGAAAAAGATGCAGTAGAAACTCTGGAGACTGGGACTATATGTTTACTAATGGACTTGCATACTCTTCACCCTGAAGTTACACAGATTGCCCCACTTCTGTCTTCACCATACCATCAGTATAGGTGGGCAACAGCAAGCTCCTTGTGGAGAGGGCTGGTCTGATACTTTACATTTTCTTCCCACATGTCACCCTTCAAACTCTCTTTTACTAACTTGATGGCTAACTTTATGTGTCAATATCACTGGGCTAAATGATGCACCAACACTGATTCAACACTATTTCCAAGTGTCCAAGAGGGTATTTCTGGAAGAGATTAGCATTCAGTCCATAGATTGAGTAAAGTCCATAGCTCTGAGATGTGTGAGCATAGACCACTTGCTTGAGTAACTGAACAGCATAAGGAAGATGACACTCATTCTGTCTCTTTTTCAGTTGGGATATCCATCTTCTCCTGCTTCAGGTATAACCACTCCTAGTTCTTTAACCTTCAGGCTCAGGCTGAATTATCCCTTGGCCTTCAGCTTGTAGATAGCAGGTCATGGGGACTTCTCAGCATCTATAATCTTTGATTCCAATTCTTTTACTAAATCTCTTCTATCTCTTGATTGATCTATCTACCCGTCTAGCTGTAGGTTATGTTTCTTTGCTTCTCTGCAGAACCCTGAAGCAATTTCTGTTTCTCTGGAGAACAATGACTAATATGTTCAATGAACAGTGAAGGTTAAAAGAGAGATACTCTTTGCCTAGTATAAGTCTCTGCTTTGGGAAATTAAGGCATACAGCAAAGTGAAAAATTTTCCATAAGAAGTGCACAGACACAAATGGAGAAGGAGAAGAAAGAAAGACAAATGAATAGACAAAGCAGTGATTTCACTACCCCTTCGAGGCAGCTAGCATGGGTGGAAAGCCTCTTTTTTACTTTACACCAATTGCATCAACTGCTCTGTTGTTTTCCTTAGCTTTGGGTTTTTGTCCTAGTGAGTTAATATAATATCTCTCTTCCTGTTGACAAATGATATTTAAAAATTATAACAAAGCCCAACAGAGATAGTGTCTGTCATTTACAGTTCAAACATCCACTACTCCACTGTAGCTCTAATTACTAAAGAGTTTTGAGGTCATTACGATGAGAGAAAAATCTCTGATCATTATTGAGGATCCATCTTCTACATATGCAAATTGTTAAAATCTTTTTGTCTTTCCTGACACTTAAAATAGAGCCACGAGAATGCTAGAATTATGTCAATTTCCAGCTATTCATTGTCTTCCTACTATGTGTAAAATTAAATTTGATTCTCATATATATAGTTTTTTAAAAATATCCAAGAGAACAAGATAAAACTATCAAAATAATGTCCAGGAATAACCGCCAGATGAATTGTGTGGGCACTATATGAGGGGAGAGGAGAAAACAACAACAACAACAAATCTTTTTGCAAAAGAACAAAACACACACACAAACTGTTATGAAATATAGGTGAACTGGAGCACTGGAATTTATGTAATATTAAAAAGACATTATTATCTTCTCTAAATAGGTAATTGAAGGTTTTTTTCCCCTGAAAGATGAAAGGAACATTGTACGAGTCAACTTCAAAGATGAGCAAATGTTCAACAAATAATATTTTTTCACAGACTTCAAAGTACTTGAAAATATATTTTCCTGAATTCTAAGTGGAAAAATTACAGGTATAAAAGGGAAAAAATTAGATACAACTTAGTAATAAAAATCCCAGAAGATACAAGAGTAGTACCCTAAATTTTGCTTCAGTATTTTATTGAAAATGGAAATGAAATTCAAGTAAATTAATTAAAATTTTCAAAATATTAATGAAAATAATTTTTCTTTGAAATAGCTGCGACTGAATGCTTATTTCCCCAAGATACAGCGTTCTATGTCTGGAATTGAGTTTTTACTTACAAGGCTAAATGGCTCCTGAGAAGACTCAGGCAATAACATCGACTGACCTCTAGATGGCTCCCTACAAACCGGCTTTAGTTCACAACAGTTACCAGACAACAGGTGGAGAAGGGAACCACTTTTCTTTAAAGATGGTACACAAGGTTTAAAAATAATTTTATTTAGAGATATGCATGCCTGAATTGCTTTCCCAAACAAAAAAGAAATCTTTACTGATCTTCAGGCGTAGTGTGGCATGTTCCAGATCTTATTTCGGGTTATTTACCATCTTTGCAGTGCCGGTGAGCTCTGCGTGTGCTCATTTACCTTTGTACTCAGTACAAAGCGTGATGCTCGGTGTAGAAGTAGGTAGCCAAAAAATATGCATTGGTTTGAATCCATCTTCTCTTTTAATTCACATAGGGTTTAGAAAATGTTATCAGCAAAGGATGAATCTGAAAATACTAAAAACTTGACATTTTTTGTAGCTTATAATAATTAATGCATACTTCCATGCATATTACCTTAATGGAGACTTAAAATATCAGTGAGTCAGATTTTATTATCATTAGCATT